TCCTTCCTTCCTTCCTTCCTTCCTTCCTTCCTTCTCTCCCTACTTCCCTCTCCTCCTTCTCCCCCTCCCTCTCTCCCTCCTTCTTGGCTGACCTTCTTGTCAGTATATCTTGCATATTTGATAAACATTTATGGAAAAGTGAATGAAACCTATCCTAAATGGGGAAGTAAATGCCCAAAAACAATATTAGAGCTTGACTTTTTAATTGTAGTTGTAGCCATGACCTCATTTTTGGTCATCTGATAGGCCCACATAATCTCTGCTTGGTGCTAGAAGGCATTTCCCCTTTTATATTTTCTACCTAATGTCATGCAAAGTGCAAGAGCTTTGGAGCAAAATGTTGATTTCCAAATTCTAATTCTTCCATTTACTACCCTAATAACCCTAGAAAGTTCTCTTTTTCTCTCTGATTCTTGGGCTATCCTCTTTTGTAAAACAGGAATAATAGCATCTACTAATTTCTAGGATTGCTGGAATAGCTTGATGAGATTTTATATATGAAAGCACTTTCCTAAACCTGAGCACTTCCATGTGATAATGACAATGCAGAGGGTGCTATAATTTTTTTTCCCTTGCTTTCCCAGCCGTGACTATGTCCCAGGCTGTGTGCAGTGGACTGGGTAGCTGCCTAATAATATCGCTGGCTCATAGGATATTTCCTATTTTTTATGTTCTTAAGAAGATCAGTTGAAATGTATGAGATGTAGTTTTGGAAAAGATGTTTCACAGTGGGAGGTGTTAAGGTTTTAGTCCTATTTCAGCCACTTCACTAGACAGACTACCTTACCTTTTTTGGGGGAATTGTATTATCTTAAAATAAAAATGTTGGAATAGTGATGTAAATTCCTCCTTCTGGTTCTAATATTTCATGAGCCTTAGTTCCATTTTCTATGCTTATCAACTATAATCGATTCTCTTGCAGTTTCTCAAACATCCTTCATCTGCACATCCTCATCAATAGTATTTAACGTATAGAATCAGAACCACAAATGTTTAAAGACATTTCTCAGCTGGGCACAGTGGCTCATGCCTGTAATCCCAGCAGCACTTTGGGAGGCTGAGGCACGTGGATCACCTGAGGCCAGGAGTTCGAGACCAGCCTGGCCAACATGGTGAAACCCCATCTCTACTAAAAATACAAAATTAGCCAGGCATGTTGGCATGCTCCTGTAATCCCAGCTACTCAGGAGGCTTAGGCAGTAGAATCCCTTCAACCCGGGTGGTGGAGGTTGCAATAAGCCAAGGTTGCATTGAGCACCACTGCACTCTAGCCAGGGCAACAAGAGTGAAACCTCGGAAAGAGAGAAAGAGGTGGGGGGTTGGGGAGAGGAGGGAGGGAGGGAGGGAGGGAAGGAAGGAATTTCCCCCCCTCTGTACGTTTCCATGGCATGGTCCTTTGCTTATACATCTGACTGTATTATATGGAATATGGGACATGGGAATTGAATAC